CCTTTTCTACAAGTAATTGTTCTGATTCTGATGAACTTTCCTCTGTGGTACCTAGACTTTATGAACAGTATTAGATTGGTGACAAGATCTCATCATTTTACAATTGAAATGGTGAGATGTAACCATAATGACTTCTTCTAGTGCTTTTCTCACTTGTGGGACTCTCTTCTGGCTCCTTATTACCTAGTCAACTTTGATCTTCAAAAATTTACATGCAATGTCAATCATTATTATCTGTCTTCTTAATTCTTGTTCTTTTATTGTTCTCTGTCCTTAATAGTAGTTTTTCTCATATTCTCTAACACTCAGTGATCCCTTGAGTCCAAGTGGCTTTATTGCCTTGCTTGGGGTGAAATGATTAAAAAAAAAAAAAAAAATCAACCTTTCTTTTGTTCCACGTATATGCATAACAAAGTTGAACAAAAATGTGTATATTACTAATATCTGACTTAGTACCAGAGTAATAGGCATCTTACCATTTCAGGAGATCACCAAGTTCTTTCTACAGTGCCATTTTGGCGTGGCAAAAAGAAAGCAGATTTTTTTTGTGCTTAATATGCTTCTTAAGATGTAACTTAAATTAATTACATGTAATTTGTATGTCTCTCTCCTCCCAATATTTGCATCCTTTTTAATACTCTATTTCTTGGTGTACATCAACCTTATTATTCCATTTTCAAAAGTAAGAACAGTACAGAAAGATTGTTTTTGTTAGTTAAAGAAATAGTTTCATCAGATCTATTTTAGAACATTGTATACATAAGCACAGAAGTGAAAACTGACTGTACCAATCTGACAGAGTCCCACTTCTTTCTAACTACAGATAGCATGAAAATAAGTAACCATCACATTTACAATTAAAATCAGTAACGTCTTAGTAAAATAACAACAATGTGACTAAAAATGATTTTGCATTAAACCAAGAATTACAAGAATGACGTTGTGACCTAAAAGGAAAACGGATGCTAAATCAGGCCAAATGATCTTCTCTTACCCTTATCAGTCAGTTTTGTACTTGAAAAATATCTGATATCAACATTGGGAGGGGAAGGGGAAGATTTGAGAGAATAGGTATCTACTCTATAATTAGCACATTAACTTATTTGTAAATTCAGTCATTCCCAAGTGTTAAGAACAAATGCAAAAAAGTATGTAAACAAGTTCCTTTTTGGTTCTTAGTTGAACTTAAAGAGGAGGACAGGATAGATATTTTTAGTGTTGTTCTTTTGGGCGGGGGGGAGGAAGTACATTCCTAAGATTATTTATTCAGGGGCTTGTTTCTCTGCATCACTGACATCACAGTGTATAAGTAGCTTGCTGAATTCGAATTTATTGATTTAATAATAATATATTACCAAATATTACCTATCCATGTACATGCAATGTGTGTGTTTTATATATATACACACACATATATATATATATATATATATATATATATATATATATATATATATATCTATATATATATATATATATATATATATCTATATATATCTATATATATATATATATCTCTATATATATATATATATATATATATATATATATATATATATTTATATCTATATCTATATACACACACACATGATAAGACAAAGAACAAATAGCATTTATTAATCTAACATGTTTTACTTTTATTAAAACTTCTTCAGAGAATGAGATATGGAGAAAAAGAAAGAAATTCTGGTATTTTTACATTTATGCTGTTTGATTTTCATTGCTTAATTATTTTTCACATGCATTCAACTCATTAAACAAACATTAGTATAATTTATGGCATTCTGAATTCAAGGAGAGATGAAACATCTATTCAAAGTTTCAAGAAATTAACAGATTCCAAATCTACCTGAAAAAAAGTAAATATTGCTTTATGTATGTAAGTATATAATAATTCTAGTTTGCCTATGTGAAATTCAGATGATAAGCAAGTGTATGAGTGTGTGCATGTGTATGTCTTCTTTTTCTCTATATCTCATTCTCTTATGAACCTTTAATAAAAGTGAAACATGTTAGATGGATAAACTTTTCCTATTTGTTCTTTGTCTTATCATTCTATTAGATACCAATCTATATTTGATCTTAACTCATATATACATATGAGTATGAATAAAAACAAAAGAAAACTTATCTTAGCTAAGACATTTCATCCTCTGATGACCTTTATGAAGACGTATGTAAAATAATATAAATAATATATTATAAAAAAGAATTCAATAACAATAACATTTACTTTTATTTATTAGACATTAAATTACATCACTTAGCATCTTTCATAATTTACCTAATTTATCTGAAGTATATTTATTTATAAGTGTTCTTAAATTTAAGACATTTTTTACTTGTTTATAAATATAATCCTTACATTTGCCTTGATAAAGTCCACCTGAGGACAAAATGTTCTTTCTTGTCTTTTTACAGGTATATTTTTAGTTATATCTGAATTTTTACACTCACTGATGACTGTGTTTAAGCATGAAACAGACTGTTGTCACCTCTGGGTACTGACTTCAATGTTCACTTTTATATTTACATAAGCTCTATCCTTGATATTGAGCACTTTAGCCTATAAATATATATATATATATAAATATATATATATATATATATATATATATATATATATATATCACTCGCTTTCAAGTAGGTTTCATGTTCTGTAACTGACCAAGATGCCTGCAATTGGCATGAAAAAGGAAAATAAAACTAAATACGAAATGTACTTGATTGGTATATTTACCTCAGTTTATCTTAAAGTGTTTTGATCTGTAATTTTTGTTTGATTTTTCTATTTGGAGTATATGAGGGGGTGTTGAAAAGTTCTTGGGTCTGATCAAGAGCCATGAAACGTATCTGCTATTCCATGTATTTGCAACACAATTCAACACACTTAGCACATCATTTCTCAAGTTTCTTTTTTAACCCTCCCCAAAATATTCTGATGTCTCATCATTGAAATAATACACTGCTGCTATTGATTCCAAATCTTTTAAAATCCAAACTCTTTTTTGAGGTCTTCAAACAGAAGAAAGTCAGATAGCAAAAGATTTGATGAGTAATAAGATGGGTTATGCATTCAATCAACCAATTCTTCAAAATATGAGCAGCTGCACTGTTCTGCAAAAAGAGAACACTTTTCTATAGCTTCTATCACCTTTTTTGGGTTGTTTTTTTTTCAACACCCCTTTTAATTAACATTGCAAATTAGAGTAATATTCTGCATTAACTGAGGTAAACTGTTAACATTTGCTTGTTTATAATTGTGAGGAGTTAAAAAGCTTTCAGGTTTTAGAAGTATCATTTTGTCCAGAATTTAAAGGGTTTCAACATTTATCTTTAACATATTAGATGAAATTGCATCAAGTAAAAATGGATCAATAGAAAAGACAACTGAACATATGAATACTATTTGTTCATCTATTTACATGGTTTGAACTGTTGTTCTCATCTTTATTGATATATTCACAATGTTTCAACTGTTGTATGTTCCAGCCTTCTTCAGGTGATATACATCGGAATTTCAAACCAAACCCTTTATTTAGTCCATGGGGATAGATTGTTCTGTCATTTTTGTATTTCAGTTAATTCCCTTTAATAACTCAATTTTGAAATTCCAACATATAATACCTGAAGAAGAATGGAGCATACAATGGTTGAAATGTCATGAATGTGGTCATAAAGATGAAGACAAGAGTTTGAATGATGAAAATAGTGTAAATAGTTACAATACCTCATCTCTGAAATATAGACAGACCAATTCTTTCTATTGAGAAAATAATAAATTGCCATCTTGATACCCTCACAAAGCAAATAAATTGATTTTGAAATAAATCAATCAGCAAGAATTTTCTTAAATAACCATGTAAATCCTTTAATCTCAGATTTACCCAGGTAGAGAAGGGTTTGTCCTAATGTATTCATTAAAGTTTGCTAACATGATACTAAAAGATTAGGACAGCAATAACCAAGCTATAAAGGAACCAAGTAGGAGAACCAGACAAGATTATCATAGCGATGCTAACAACCTTAGATAATTTGAGGACTGATAAGGTTACTGATGTGATAAACAAAATATATAATGGCAGCGATATACAGGAGGAATTAAGTAAATTGATTTCATTAGCACTGCCAAAGAACCTGTAGTGATTCATAAATAAGAAGCAGGTGTATCATCTCTTGCCTTGGTCATTGTTAAGGAAGGAAAGTAGAATTCCCATAATGCACTAGAAAGACAGTTTTGGTATGAAAATGCAAAGTCTTTCTCTGACTGCCAGCTGTTGGACTAGAAAGACATGTTTTCATAAATGAGCTCACAAGATGTCTCTTCATATAGATAAGCCTTAAAACCATTTCTTTCTAGTGCATTGTTCTACCTTCTTTCTTTAACTATAATCTAACAAGGTAGTGGATGCAACTCTTGCTTCTTACAAAGCCAAATGTAAACTCTACTGAACAATCAATGAGCCATATAATAAAATTAATAATTAGGATTTAAAAGAATGATGCTTGTAGCAGAATTTGACCAACAATGGGGAAAGAAGGAATTTGTTTGAAACACTGGAACAAGAAATGTAATTTTCATGATTAGAATGTTGTCAGAACAAACAGTGGAAATGCAAAAACTGCAGTTTAAATGTTAAAAAAGCTTGAATCATATGCAAAACAAAAAAAAAGACAACCTGAAATGTGAGTTAGGAATCAGGAATATCAAAATCAAGCATGATTGTCTTTTTGTTTTTTTTTACAGCTTGTCAACTGTTTGCAGATTATTTAAAGCTGGAACATATTTTTGGATTGTAATAATATTTTTGGATATAATAATGATTTTTTTTTATACAAGTCCAACTATTTACGCAATTGCTGGGTGGGAAAAAGTGGATTCATACCTTTCCCAAGGGTATTTGTACATAAGTGAATATAACAAACCTGACTGAAATTTGAACATGGCTCTCTGATTTCTCATTCCCATTTGTTATCCATTACACCACCTGCACATCAAGGCTTACAGCACCAGGTATTCCCAAGAGGTCACCCATCTAGGTACTGACCAGGCTTGATGTTGCTTAACTTCAGTGATTGGACAAGACCAGTGTTTCCACGTATTATGGCCATAAGCCTCAAAATCAAGCAGCTGCTAAAATTTAACTATCTGGGTAGTATAGTAAGAGACAACAGAAAGTATTGATATAGAAACCTGAAACCACATGGCGAAACAATGAAAGATGCTGTTCAGAAAATTATGATTAAGGGATTAAAAATGTCTTCAGAAACAAAGGAAAGAGTGCTGAAATGTTATGTAACATCTAATTTCCTGCATGGCAGTAAATGTCAGACAACATTGTCACAAATGAAGAAATGTGGTTTGATCAACTAATATTGAGAACATCATGGTCAGATTAAGAAATTAGAAAATTTAAGAAAAATAGGAACTATAAATAAACTGCTCTTAACAACCAGAGACAAGTGAAATTTTTGTCACACATAATGAAGTCTTAGAGAATATAACACTCACTTGGTACAGTGAAAGTAAGAGGAGCAGAGGAAGGCAGTGAGAAACCTACTTGACAACTTTGTACAGTTGGATGGTAGAAGTATAATAAAGACAAAGAGGGGGTTATAAAAGAGAAAGTATTGCTAAAAAACAACAGGAAAATGTAGAGAGCCATGATCACCCACCTTCTGAATGGACAGAGATAAAACCACTACTAATATAAGATTGCATTCTAACATTTTCAAAGCTAATAAATTGATCAATTTTAATTTATTCACTAATAAATGGGTTCAGTCAATTTCTTCAATCGCATACATAAAGTGTATAATGATATTGTTATGGAAGTGCAAATGATATAAGGTTTTGGTTATTTTTATCTGAAATTATATTATCCATGCACAAATTAATATTCATGCATGATATTACATGAAAACATGTATGTGTAGGTATGCGTGTGGAGACAAACACATACACACATATATATAAGTCTTATATCCTATATATAATTATTATAAACCATTCAGTATATCCAATCTTAAGTAATCAATCAAATTTTACATATTTAACATACGGTACATACATCAATATATGAATTTAATAGGTAGTTTTTAATGGGTGACATACCGATACATAAGAAGTGACCTTGGAATATATATCTAGGGAAATAATTAATGATTATACATTTGTACCTAACAATAATTTTGTTTTCATTTTTGTCTTATAATTCTGTCTAATTACAGTTGAGTTAATGCCCGGGTTTTTTTAACTTAACTTCTTCGAAAATGTTTCATCTTAACATAGGGTTTTTGTAGATACATGTTGGCGAGCAATATATGTATGTGCATGGATGTAGGTATCTAAGCATATGTAAGTATAGATGGCTATGCAAGTAGAGATATTCATAATGTGGATGAACCCATGGGTACGCATGCATATCCAAATTCCCTCCAAATCTTTGAAAATACCTCCACTCCAAACTTTGAGCTCTGATATATGGACAAGTTTAATACACCAATAATTCTAAATTATCTCTCTTTAATCTTACTAAAGTTACCTCTTGATTGTTTTTTCACATTTTCATTAAATCAAAATTTGGCCATGTGACCATTAGGATGTAGGTCATCTCATCGGTTTCCCATTCTCTTCCCCCTACACAGGCTCTCCTACCTCCATAATATAACTCCTGCAACGGTGCCTTCTTCTGCCATATCTCCCACCATGTTTCTTTTAACGTCCTCCCTCTTTTTTTCCACAACTAGCCAGTATTCCACTACAAACTGATACCATGAACAGTTTGAAAAATCCTGCAAATTTTAAAATTAAAATTTGTAGGTGAAAATGGTCATTTACTAAAGGTATCTTAATTACAATTGTAAAGAAAATTTTGGTCTGTTTAATGAAAATAAACATTGGGTGCTTTTTGTAAGTTAGTTTTAACATATTTCAGATATGTTGTGTTAATAAGACTCACCTGGATTATACCAACAGATTATATATATATATATATATATATATATATATATATATAATCTGTTATATCTGAAAATCTGAAAATAAACAAAAATTATGTAACTGTAGAAACCCTCATAATTGCCCTCTACAAAATAAATGTTGCACTGAATCAATAGTATACCAATGCAATATCTCTTCGATTGAGAGTCTGCAAAAAATAAAAATATATATAGGTTGCACTAGCCATGAGTTCAAAAAAAGATTCAACCAACATCAAACCTCATTTAGGATAAATAAATATAAAAATCAAACATCTCTATCGAAATACTTCTGGCACCTAAAAGAATCAAATAAAACACCTACAGTAAAATGAAAGTTAAGAAAAGCTAGAATATGTAGGTCATTAAATGACCCATGCCCTTTGTGCATACATGAGAAACTATATATTACTAAGTTTATAAAAAATAAAAATTTACTGAACCAGAGAAATGAAATAGCTATTTTATGCCTTCATTGTCAAAAATTTTCCTTAAATAATATTTAAAAATTAAAAATAAAAATAAATTTATAAAAGTGTGATCAGGTAATATACATACTTATATTTAACATGAAAAATTAATTTTATATACTGTAAGTAATTCTATTACATTTACTTGGCTTTTCAGGGAAAAAAAAAATGACTAACAGTCTTTTTTTTTTAAAGTTGTATTTAAAATTGTAGTTAATATGAATTCTAACCTAAACACCTTTTAAAATTGTAGTTAAATAAAACGTATTCTAACCTAAACACCTCTCAAAAAGTAATACTGACACTCAAATGTATCCAATAAAACACCCACCGAAAAATGAAATTATGACGAAAAGCTAGAGGATGTAGGCCATTGAATGACCCATGTCCTTTGTACATACATGTGCAACTTTATATATATATATATATTATATATATATATATATATATATATATATATATATATATATATATAAATAAAATAAAAAATAAAGTTTACTAAATCAGAGAAATGAATTAGCTATTTTTGACGTAAGTGCCAAAAATTTTACTTAAATAATATTTAAATTAAAATTTTTAAACATCGTAATAGAGATATACTTGATATGGAAAAATAATTTTACTTACAGTAAGTAATTCTAATATATTTACATCTATTAAATGAAATATAAAAACTAACAATGAAAATATTTTAAAGTTTTAATTAAAATTGTAGTTAATTAAAACGAATTCTAACCTAAACTTCTTTTAAATTGTAATTAAATAAATAAAGTTTACTAAATCAGAGAAATGAATTAGCTATTTTTGCCGTAAAGGAAAAAAAAAAAATTGTACTTAAATAATATTTAAATACAAAAAATTTAAAAACCGTAATATACTTGATGTGATAATAATTCTACAAACTGTAAGGGATTCTCATTACATTTAATTGTTCTTAAAAGAAATATAGTATATTAAAAATTAAAAGTAAAAATATTTCAAATTGTAGTTAAATAAAAAGTATTCTAACCTAAACACCCCCTAAAAATCTTTAAATATACGAAGGAAAAAATGCCGTAAGAATCTTTGCCGTTAACAATAAAATTTTAAAAAAAATCCAGACAACACACTTTTAACAGATGTTAGATTTCATTGAAAAATACATCCCTACCCACTACCAAAACGTAGCAATAACTGATACATTAAAATATAGACATATTGAACACCCAGACAACCCCTCGTCTAGTAAAATGAATTCATCTGTAACCTTGGAAACATGAATTATGATTTTAGCTGTGTTTTTAAAACCCAGTAATTTTAAAAGTTACTCCAAAATTCGCTTGAGGAGGAATGTCTTTAATTTAATTACAAAATTAAATTCGGGGCTTTTAGCTTCCATTTTTTAAACATGGTTAGAACTGTGTAGTGGAAAAAACCATATTTTAAATCAATTAATTTATAATATTATATAATACTAATATTTTATATATTGAGTAAAAACTTTGATTTTATTAAAAACCTTGGAGAGATATATCTTCTGGGATCAAATTTAATAACTTAATCATTTTAGCATGAGAATTGTAACCTGTAACCTCTGGACAATTATGCAAAAGCAGATACAAGAACTATTTTTATTCCTTTTTAAAAAAAAAAAAAACACATGCAGCATTTGTAACGAAAGGGAAATAATCCAAATTCCTCAAAACACTTATATAATTGTAATATTCGTATTATAATACCTCTATACTTGCAAATTCAATAATTTCTACAAATGCTGACAATATGTGGATATGTGTTTGTTTGTCTTTTGTTACAAAGACAAATTAAATTGAAAATTTTCATGTGCATCAACAGAAGTTTATTAGGTACTGCATATATTGCTTTAGTTTGTTTTTATTATATTTCACACAGATTTGTAATCTTTTATGTAATGGGCAACTTGATTTTTATAGACATATGCAGTATCAACTAAAAAGCAAATGTACAATAAGAAACTCTAAAATATTGAAATTTTGAATCAAAATTGAAATTTCACAGCTCCATCACAAACTTTATTCTAGCTGGCAGCTTCACCTACTTCTGGAATGGGAAGAAATTAACCTCAAGACTTAAAAAAGAAGTCTAGTTTTACTAATTTGCAATCAGCTGCATATTTTAGTATAAAAATATTTAAGTAAATTAGCAGGAATGCTATAGTTATTACAATAAAAAAAAGACTTTTGTTATGCAGAAAATATGTAAAGAAAGAAGTTTTTAATAAAATATTTATTAATTTGCAAATAGATTTTACATTTAGTTAATGAACAGTTGGTTGAACAGGCATTCTTACTGTCAAAATCTGAAAAGAAAAAATGTATAAAAATTAAGTATAAATTACAAGTTTCTCAATTACTTTCAGTTTTCATATAAAATCATTTATACTATCTGAAGATATCTGTCTATATTTCTGAGATGAGGTATTATAACTATTTACACTATTTACATTGTTCAAACTGTTGTCCTCATCTTTTTTGTCAACCTGTTATATATGAATAAAACATGTCACTGCTGACATCAGAGTTTGAACACTAATCTCTAGGCAATAAAAATGTAGACCACCATTTACTATAAATAGAAATATTATGCCACTGACTGGTGGTTAAAAATATGTGCTGACTATTGTTAACCTGGATGTTAAAGTCGA